TCCTGTAAGAAAGCAGAGAGCAAGCCAACCAACATGCAAGCAGTGTAGCTTCATCTGCCCTCCCTTCCTTTTTCCTGCCTATGTCATCCCGGTTTCCAAGGAGTTGTCACACTTCTTGGCTTCCCACCTGCTCCTTGGCCACACAGCTTTTGGCCCTCAAATGCACAGAAGTCAGCTCCCAAATGGTCACATCCAGTTGGCTTCCCACTTCCGCCTCCTGGCTGAGCTGACATCTCCAGCTCCTCTTCTCCCCTGACTTCCCTGCCCCTCCTGGCACTGTGTCCCTCATGGCCTCCCTTCCTTTGCTTGTCTCTGCCTAGTGCTGCTGTTCCTGGCTGCTGCCTGGCTCTCGGTGCTCTCAAGCGGCCAAGTCTTCTTGGGGACGGCATCTACTCTGTGGTTCCCATCCCTACCTGTATGGAGATTTCCAAGCCTGCCATCTAGCCCAGTCTTCCCTGTCTGGCCTCAGACCAGCTGTGCTCTGGATGGTTCCACTTGGGCCACCCAGGGGAGTCACAGACCATCCCAGGGCCCTATGTCTCTCCTTGCTTGGTACCTCCTGTGGTCACTCCAGACTCGAGACCCCGAAGCCAGAACCTTAGATGCAGTGTAGACCCCTGCAAACTGCCCTCCTCAATCAGCCCCTTGGCCCTGTTGCCTTGCCTCCCAGATGTTGCTCTGTTAGACCCTCCCTCTGTTTCAACCACCATGGTCTTAATCTGACCCCAGCTCTTCCTCCAAGGTTATCTCCACAGCCTCCTGCCCCAGCCACCCAAGTCTGTCCTCCACCTGCCACCACTGTGGCTTGGTTCATGGGATGATACCAAAGCCACTGTGTGCAGACTTCTTGCTCGGGGCTGGACACAGGTTGTGCTGTTGTCCTATTCTGTTGAATACAATATGGCAGCGAGGTAGGCATTATCCTTATGCGTGCTTTTGGGGAAACCAGGGCTCAGAGGGGCTCAGTGTTGTGTCTTCAGTCACCTCACCCAGGAGCTGGATTTCAGGCTCACCTTCATATCCTGGTACCTTCCACATGGTGGAGCCACGCGTGGACCTCAGACTTCAGTGGCAGCTGGAGCCCAGATGTCAGAGTCCAGGAGGCCACCCGAGGTCCATGGAGGCAGAGGCGCGTGAGGACGCACATGTGTGCGAGATGAGGGAGGGTGGGTGGCTGCTCCTATCCTCAGGGAGAAGACGCAGGGCACAGGAAGTGTGTCCATTCATCTATATCCGGCTTACAACCTGGGGCAAATCGTGGTTCAGGTGTTCATTTTCGGTGCCTTTTCCAGAGGCCAGGCTAAGGGACTGTGAGTGTCAGTCGGATCTAAAGGCAGAGAGAGTGTGGGTGAGAGAATATGGGGGTCGTTTCTCCCTAGGGAAGGAAGAGGGAGATTCAGACCTGACATTCCTGAGCGACCACCAACACCAGCAGTGGTATCAATTACTTCTATCACTCGCTTAATCCTAACAAATGCCTCTGTTAGGATTTCTTTTTCTCAGATGAAGACACAGAAACTCGGAACACCTGAATAAATTTCTCAGGTTAATCCAAGAGGGCCAGAGCAGGATTCGAACCCAGCCATATGTGATCCCAGGGCCCATGTTTAGGGACCAAGTTGGCCAGTCAGCGGCACTGTGCGCTGTGGGATGGGAGGGGCCTGAATCTGGACAGTGCTTCAGTGGGGGCATGTTTCAGGACTGGACGCTCCGCCACCTTCCCTGGCAGCCTGGGTCCCCTCCTTTTCTCTATGACCTTGGCCCAAGAGTATGTTTCCCACCCAAAGTGACTGAGTTGTTGAGAACTCTGGCTACTGCAGGCCGCATCTCTCAGCGGTCTTTATGAGGAGATGTGGGTAGTGCCACGATGCAGCAGCAGAGCCAGGAGTGCAGCCGCCCAGGGAGGGTGACAGGGGGGCCGTGTGTTGGGACAGAGGGCCTGCCCTGCCCTCCTGCCTGCCCTCCTCGTCCTCTCTTCCGGGACACCCCGACCCTGGGCCTGTCCTGTGCTCTCCTGTCTGCACCTTTCCCTTGGTGATGATTCTCTGTCCAGATCGCTCAGGATCAGGGTGGGCACAGAGAGGGAGGGGCTCCTGTGGGCTGCATGAGGTGCAGGGGCCTGGGACTCTGTGCTGGGCCGACACGCTCACAGGGCTGGTCATCGCACGCTAGGGGCCCACATGTGCTAGGCAAGCCCTCTCCCCTGAGCAGCATACCTAGCCCTTTGTTTTGTATTTTTTGGAGACTTGTTCAGCTGCCTAGGCTGTCCTCCAACTTGCAGTCCTCCTGCCTCAGCCTCCTGAGTAGCTGGGATTACAGGTGTGCGCCAGCATGCAGGGCTTGGAGGCTGACTCTTCTTAGAGGCCAGACTTAGCTTTGTTTCCTTTCTGCTTGAAACCTGAGTCACTCTGATCACCACTTCATTCTTGTGGTGCTGGATGCCATGGAACCTCTGCAGCCATAGTTTTAATGGAAGAAGACAGTGGCCGCTCTGTCCCTTAGCTGAGAAACTGAGTCCGAGGGTGGAGGAGTTGGCAGTGCAGGGCATGGAGGATGAGGCCAATCCCTGTCACCAGAATCCGCAGGCTTTCGTAGCTCTCTGAGCCAGGGGCCGGCTGCCTAACGGGGAGAGAGGCATCAGTGCCTGGAGCAAGGTGGGGCACAAATGAGGCCTCAGTGAACTGACTGTGCCTTGGGGAAGGGGTCTTGGTTGGACCACACTAAACCCCAAAGCCCTGCGCCCGGTCCTGATTCTGCCTTTTATACGGCTCATGGATCTTCGAGTGCCACCATGGTCTGAGCACTGTTCACGGAGCTCCCGGCCCTCCCACGGGTTGTACTTGCTTGTCCAGAGCGGCCTTGGCCACCTCCTCATGGGCAGGTTCCTAGAACATCCTGTTCTGTAGACCCCTGAGGACAGTGGTGAACCTTTCGGATCTCTCCATGATACAAACCGACAGCCTGCTGCAGGACGTGTGCCTTAGGTTCGCCACCGCTGCTCTAAGGCCTGAGGGGGCAGAGTTGTACCAGCAGGGACCCAGAAGGGCTCTGCTTGATGAGGTTCTTTGGTAAGCACTGGAGTGGCTCTGGGTTCCTTTCTGCCCTGATGGTGTCCGCAAGGAGCTGGGGAATGGGGGCCACCTTAGCTCGCTGATGCTGTGTCTCTGAGAAAGCTGCAGGCTTGTTCAGAAGGCCCATCATAGTACTGCGATACTGATGGCTGTGGAATCCTATATATTGCATCTGTAGGCGACTCCACATTGTCTTTCTGTCTCCTAAAGAGGCAATAACGAGCCACACCCCAGCCCTAAAACATTGCTCTTCTACCTATACTTTTCTGAGGAAGTGTGCTCTGCTTAGATCTGTGTGGGCTGGTGGGACCTGTGGCTTTCACTGCCTCCGAAGCCCTGGCCCCCAGCTTATTGGCTTTAATTCACCATGGAACGTGCCTGCTGGGCCTTGCCGACTGCGTGAGCCTCTTCCGCAGCAGGTGGAGCTGGGGCTTTGGTTCCTGTGGAATAGAATCTTCTGCCACCTTGCTTGGGAGCAGCACTGGCTTCCACAGACATTGACTGCTGCTTTTGCTGCTGTGGCCAAAGCCTTTCTTCCCAGTGGTTGCTGGACAGCACATTGCCTGGGGACAACTCTCAGTCAGAGGACCCAAGTGGCTCAAGGTGCTAAGGGAGGAGCTTGGGCCAGGACTGGACTGAGCACGACCTGTTTGGCTGGAGAGTTGCTAGGTGCTGCTCTGTCTTCTGGGGGCCAGGTGGGGCTGGGCCAGGCCGGCTTTCCAGGCAAAGACAGGTTTCACAGTTCCTGAGTTGGAATTTGTTGCTCAAGAGGGAGCTGACACAGTATCCTGACCTGTCCTCAGATGGTACCTCAAGGCAGCAGCCGTCTGTGTAGAAATTAGATGTGGCCTGGCTTCACCCTAATCTCACCACTGATCATCCCTGGCTGCCCACCTGCCATTGCGTCACCCGTATTTCAGCAAAGAACTCATAAAATTGTGTGAAGTTGCAGAGACCTATGTCACAGGAGAGTGGAGTCAGGTCAAGGGCAAGAGCTCATGGCTGACCCCGAAGGCGTAAGGGAAGGTGGGAAGAGGCCTGGAGTGGTCAAGTCTGGGCAGCAGTACCAGAGATGGCTGAGAGGGCCAAAAGTGTGACTTGTTCAACAAGGTAAGAGGGCCAAGGACACGAGGATTGAAACAGAGACAACCCAAAAGAAACCTGGAGAGCTGCTGTGTTAGGTTAGTCGGCTTTGGTCCCCGTGACAAGAGACCTGAAAGGACAACTTACAGGAAGAAAACGTGTTTTGGCTCCTCACAGTTTCAGAGGTTTCAGTCCACGGTGAGCCAACTCCATGTTTCTTGGCCTGAGAGAGGCAGAACCTCATGGTGGAAGAATGTGGTGGCAGCCAGGATACAGAGACAAAGGGAAAGAGCCAGGAAGAGAAGGGGCTGGGAAGGGGACACAGCCTTCAAAGGCGCACCTCCCAGTGACCCACTTCCTCCCGGGCCTCATCTGAGAGCCACAGCCCTGAACTCGTGGATGGGTCAGATTAGCCCACTGATCCGATGACCTCTGCAGGCCTCACCTGCACGGGGGACCAAGCCCTCCGTGCACGAGCCTTTGGGGGACACTTCCTATCTAAACCATAACAGCCGGGTTCTGGGGAGACCCCGCCAAACCTGTAAGTGATGCGCACAGAAGCTCACAGCCATCAGCTAGCAGAGCAGCTGGTGGAGTGAAGGGCTTTTGAAGAACATAGAAACCGATAAAAAGGTGTTCAGAGTCCCAAGACCCGTACAGGCGCCCCTCTCCAAGTGTCTGGGTTTCTCTGGACTCTTCATTATGAAAGGTCGAGTGGCCCAGAGTCAGGACAGTCGTCCATGCATCTGTGGGCCCCGAGGGAGATTCCTCACTGTGGCCGGCGCTGGCTCCTGTGGGGCTTTCTAGGTGGTGGTTTAAAGTGTTTGCTGCTCGTCTGTACCCCAGGTCCCTGGAGGTCACAGGTCAGGACCCTCTGGACCTTCAAGGCCTGCTTTCAGGTCCCAGGCATCGCGGCTTCGTCCAGACAGGCTTGTGGGCACCTTCTCTTTCCGGGGAATGGGCACCCGTGATGATGTCCCCCCAGGTAAGGGGCACTTTGCAGAGTGGGCCTCCTGTGGGTTCTCTGCCTGGGAAATGAGGCCCGGTGCCTGTGCCTTTTCACCCCGCCCAGCCCTCACCATCTGGACCCTGGGCCTCCTGCTTGGCAGGCTGTCTGGGCGGCCCTCTGGCCCATGAGGCTCTGACTGCCCCGGGGACTGGCCTGAGCTTCGCCCTGACTCTGAGGCAGAGTGGGCTAGCTTCCCGGGGCTGTTGCTGCCCTGTGGCCAGGCAGGGCCTGTGGGCTGAGACTTTGCCAAAGGTAGATGACCTATTTCCTTAGCTTCCTGGGTGGGGAGCGAGAACTCAATGCAGGTGATGAGGGTGCTGTGCTCTTTCTGCCTTTGGGGAACCAGCTCTGAGCCTCAGTTTCCTCTGAAAGTGAGGAGACCGGCCTTGCCCTGGATAGACTGGACCCAAGAAGGGGACCGGCTGAACTTAGTAAGGAAAATAGAGGAGCAGGACGACCAGAGCAGGGCGGTTCGGGGACAGGGCTGCACACTCAGACAGATGCCAGGGCACTCGGGATGGTGTTCTCCGTTATGCCTGTCCAGGCCTTAGAGGCTATAAAGTGTGGTTCTCCTCGTCTGTCCCCAGCCAAGGTTCTGGCTCCAGTGGCCGTGTACTGCGGGAGTGTCCCCAGGACAAGCGCTGGGCCTCGCGCACCCCTGCCTGGAAGCGTCAGCTCCACTCTGCCAGCTTTCAGCCCAGGTGAGATGTGCGGTCCTGGCTTGGTGGCTCCGTCACACCAAGTGTCCTCTGAGGACTCTGGCAGTGGTTGGGAGGCTCCTCCTGGCAGCTGCCCAAATAGGGCCACTGACTGCAGGACAGAGGATGGGCCTCAGCCCAGCAGGGGAGACGAAGGGGCTGGGATGGATGCTCAGGGTGTTGTCACGCTACAGCGGGGTTCTTGTTTGTTCTGTTTTGACATGGGGTCTCACTGTGTTGCCCAGGCTGGCTTGGAACTCATGGGCTTAAAGGTTCTCCTGCCTCAGCCTCTCGAGGGCTGGGGCTATAAGGATACCACTGTGTGGGTGTTAATTTTATTGTGGCCCCTGCTGCAAATGTGCTTTGTTTTTTTCCCCACAGGTCTTTTCAGCTCTGTACCTCAGGGGTTGAGGGTGCCCGGGGGAGACACCGGGAATGGGGGGCTGGCTCTCCTGGGAACTTGGGGGAGCCCATTACCCGAGGAACACAGGACCTGTGCTCTGTGGGGTCTGCGTTTCAGGGCCTGGGAGGGCACCAGGCACCAGGTGGCAGGAGATGGGCACTGCTGGTGGCAGCCTGTGATGCTTTTCTCAACTCTGTCCTCGCTTCGCTGCCACCCCTGCTCCAGCTCCCAGCAGCACACTGTCCTTTGGGCAGCGCTCCGCCCTTACTCCGGGTAGAGAAGGTTCTGGTCTGGTTCTGGTTCTGGTTCCAGCTCCCCCACAGGCCTGGAGCTGGCCTGGAGTCCGGCTCTCTTTGCGTCCTGAGGCAGCTGCAGTCCAGTATCTGTAGCTCAGGCCTCAGGCTCTCCAGGCTCACAGGGGCCTCCAAGAAGGGCTGTGGTATGCGGCGAGCTCCCCGCCTGTACTTCCGCTGCCTCTCGGGGCCTGTGGCTCCTGAGGTCAGACTGGCACCCGCCTTTCACCCAGGCCTTCCCCGTCAGCCCTCCTCTCCGGGTTGATGTGCATGTGGCTCTGTCACCCACGGCTCATCTCGTGTTTGCCTCGTTCCGTACCTCTTAACTCCTCGAGTAGGATGGAAAGTCCCTCAAGGACCAAGACTCACTTCCGCCCCTCCACTGCCAGTGCTTGGCACCCCGGCGCTGGCCGGATGAGTGGCTGGGAGAACTTGTGTCTGCCCCTGGCACGACCTGTTGCAGCCCCCTAACTGCTCGGGCTGTGGTTGGCGCCGTCAGTGCTCAAGGGACCCGAATGAGGCTCCTGGAGGCAGGAGGACGAGGCTGGGCAGGTGGGCTCTCCCTCCTGAGGACTTACGGCCTCTGTCTGCGCTGTGATAGCCGTGACTATTGACCCCGTTCCGCTCCCTGCGTGTCCTGTGACATGGGTCTGGCTCAGGCGAGGCACCTTGTAAACACTGCTGAATTTATAAATTGCCCCCAGGAGGGAAAGGAGCTCTGAGTGTGCCCAGGAAGTGACACCAGTGAATTCGCCAGTGCCTGTGCCACCTTGGGCCCTACGTGCTGAGCTACTCATGTCTCTGTGCCCCTCAGCCTCTGACCAGCTTGTGCCAAGTGTGCTGCAGAGCCATGAGAAGCCATCGCAGCCCTCAAGTGGATGTGGGGACCCAGGCAGTCTCACACTGGGTGCCCCTTTGAAGGGCTGGCAGACCAGGAATGGTCACCCCAGGAACCTTGGAGCTCTGTCTTTGGGACCTCACCCCGGGGGATCTGTCAGCTTGTTGGAGTCAGAGACCAGCAGTGTGGCCAGAGACACCACCCAGATCAAGGACAAACTCAAGAAGAGGAGGCTCTCGGAGGGCATGGCAGCATCTTTGCTAGGTGAGCCCTGGTCCCTGCCAGCTGTCACCCACCCACCCCAGGGTCAGGGCCCTTGGCCCCTAGGCTGTGAGGATCAGCAGGTGTCACAGTGACTTGCTGGCGTTGGTCAGTGTGTATTTGCCTCGGGGTGCTGCTCTGCAGGACGGGATGGGGAGGGGGCACCGGAGGTGTCCACTGGGCACATAAAGGATTAACCTCGGGCCGGAAGCACGGTGGCCTGCCTTTCAGGCTGTGAGAAGTGCCAGGGCAGCTATGTCATTACACGTCCCTACAACAGGAGGTGGGCAGAAGGAATTGCTCGGCGCCCATCCCATGCCAGGGAGACCTGACTTGCCCAAGGTCATACGAGCTTCTATCCTGGGTCCGAACTGGCTGTCCTCAGTTCTATCTGAGAACTGGTTTTGTTTCCCTTCCTCCCCACACTGTCCCTGAATTGTAAGTGGGTGACTTTGACTGCACAAGGACGCTCTGCTGGGTGTAGGGTCGGGGCAGGCCTGCCCTCCACCCCCGGAACATCAGGCTCAGATGTCGCCGAGCCCACTCACCCTTCCTTTGGGGCTAACTCTCCTGTCTCTACCCCTGTGCAGCCTCTCTGGATCCTGGGCGAGGCCCCCGAGCAGCCCCTCTGCAGAGCATCGTGTCCCGCACTCCCCACCAGAGGCTGCTGAGGGTGCCCAGGCCAATGCCTCCCATCCAGAGCATCCCTACCACCCCCGAGGCCAGTGGAGCCAAGGAGAAGGGCCTGGACACCCCCGGGAGCGGGCAGGGGGCCCAGGAGCTGAGAGCTGGCACTCAGGAGGTAAGGCGATTCCACGATCTTGCCTGCAGCTCTCCTCTGCCTTTCCATCCTTCATGAACCTCTGTACCCTGGCCGCCGCGGCAGGTGTCCCGCATGCACTCTGCCCTCAGGATGGCGGTGGCTTTGGAAGAGGCCTCATTTCATCGCCCCCACAGCATGCAAAGCCTGCATGACCCCTGTCCGAGAGTCGGCAGCCCCCAGGCCTTCTTCAGTCTTATCATGCCAAAGGTCCTCCTCCTTTCCGGCCCTCTCCTTTTAATTCAGGGGTGTGGCAGAGGCGAAAGAGCTGGGCTGAGGTTGAGTCCGGGCTCTGCCCCTCACAGGCTGTGTTGGGTGGTCCTTCTTGGGCTTTAGTTTGTCCGTCTATTAAAACAGAGGTTTGGACTGGGTGTTTCCGGGAGTCCTTCCAGCTCTGATGGTCTAGGTTGTTTCTGAAACAAACAAACAAAAAAGCAACAACAAAACCACTTGTAATAATAGCAATGCAAATCTTGCCAGGCTTCTCAGCTGGCCTGCTGCTTTCTGGGGGTCCCTGTGTGTGGCTAAAAGGGACCTCCCAGCACTTGGCCCGGCCTGTGTGAGGGACTTGGAGCTGAGCACCCAGAGAGCGAGGCTTCCGTGGACCAGACCCCTCCGCTCCCAGGTGCAGATCTCCCCGCAGTACCTGCACTGCAACGATGCGAAGATGCAGAAGACCCTGGGAGGCATCGGGATCCCACCCATTCCGAAGGCAGGGGTGTCCGGGGAGACCTCTCCCAGCAAGCCTGGCCCCCTTCCCAGCCCCCTGGCTCCGGGCCAGGCCGTCCTCACAGGAACAAGGCCCTCTCACACACGGTAAGAGCCCCAGCCAAGCAGTGCTGTCTCCCTCCACCCCCAGGACCCACTGGGGCTCCCCACAGCCAACCCTCTGTACTGGAGCGCAGCTCTGAGGTCACAGCATGTGGGAGGCGGCAGAGAGGGAGGCCATGGCTCCATTGCTGGGGTGTCTCTGGTCACAGGCTGAGTGTGATGGCGCAGCACCTCGTCTTCATGTCCGTGTTTGCTGAGATGGTGAACGAAATACAAATTGTTTTGGAGTACGATTGAATGCATGGAAGCGCTCTGTTATCATGTAGTTTCATGATGGTCTGATATTACAAGTATAACCATTACACATCGGGGGAATAGTTCATAAGACTTTGGACTTAAAAAGGTGTCTTCATACCCAAAAGGCCGGGACTCGGTAGGGTAAGGGTATCTCCACGCTGTCATGAGTCTGGTTTATGGCTCGTCAGTAGGGTAGACGGCTCACCCTAGGTGGCCAGCACATCCCTGTGACCAGAGCAAGCGTGCGTGCAAGTACCTGTGTGTCTATGAGTGTGTGCAGTGAACGTGCACACCGAGAAATGCCTGTGTGTGTCTCCGTGTGTGCCTGTGTCGATGTGTCTCTGAGGCAGGTGTATGTGTGTGAGAGTGTGCTCACGGCTGATGGGCCTGGCTCCCCCAGTCACAATCAAGTTCTTGCTCTGGCTCCCTGTTCCCCAATTTCTTTTTTTGCATTAAGTTTATCGGTACATTGTAAGCATACAATACAGTTACATTCATCATTGGGAACTTGTACCCTTACATGATGTATCTTGGTTCCTATTTTTATTTTCCCTATTCCCCTGCCCTCCCTTCAACCCTTCCACCCTTCCCTACTTAGAAAGATTTTGTTTCCACTTTTTCCTTTTCTCATAGTTTTTTCTTTCCCCTCTTTCCTTTCACCAACCCCTCCCACTTCCCTTACCCCTTTGGACCAGTCTCCAGTTGAGGGGTAATTGGGCTGTTTCCAAGCTTTAGCTATTACAAACTGAGCTACTATAAACACGGGTGCACATGTATCGCTGTGGTTTGATTCTTTTAATTCTTTTGGGAAGATATCCTGCAGAGGGATAGCTGGGTCAAAGTGGACCTCCAAGCCTAGTTTTTTGAGGTATCTCCATGCTGATTTCCACAGTGGTTGCACCAGTCTGCACTCCCACCAACAGTGGAGCAGGGTTCCCATCTCCCAACAACCCCTCCAGCATTTGCTATTGGTTGACTTCTTGATGGCAGCCATTCTTTCTGGGATGGGGTGGAATCTCAGTGTCGTTTTCATCTGCAACTCTCGAATGACATTTTTTCCTATGTTCACTGGCTACTTTTACTTCTTTGTCTAAGAAATGTCTGTTCATCTCAGATGCCCATTTTTGAATTGCATCTTTGTATTTGGGAGGTCTGACTTTTTAAGTTCTTTATATATTGTAGATAGTAGACCTTAGTCTGAGGAACAGCTGGTAAAATTTTTTCCCCACGTCATAGGTTGTCTTTTAGCTCTGTTGGTGGTTTCTCTTGCTGTGCAGAAGCTTTTTAATAAGATGAGATCCCAGCTGTTGATTCTTTGTGCTAGTTCCTGTGCTACTGAGGATTTGTTCATAAAGTCTTTTCCTATGCCAATGTCTTCAAGAGTTCTGCCTAACTTATCTTCCAGAAAGTTTAGTGTTTCTGTTTTAATATTTAGTTCTTGAATATACTTTGATTTTAGTTTAGTTCATGGTGAAAGGTACAGGTCAGTTTTAATCTTTGACCAGTTGAATCCCGGTTTTTCCAGCACCATTTATTAAAGAGCCTGTCTTTCCTCCAGTGAGGGTGGTGGGCTCCTTTGTCAAAGATGAGGTGGCTGAGTGTGTCTGGAGTTCCTGCTGCCCTGTTTCTTCAGCCTGATGCTCTGAATTCTCTCCTCACTCACCTCCCAGGCTGCCTTCCCTTCTGTCCATACTTGTGTTCCCACGCTTCTACAGCCCTGGTGGGGTGTGGTCCCATCTACATACCTGCTCCGGGAAGTGAGTTCTCCACTTGATTTTCACCATCAGCCTCCTCCGACGGGCCTGCTCCGCTGCCATGCCAGCCCTCACCATGGGAGGCATCCTCTTTCCCTGCTTGGACATTTGTCTCTTCCTCCCTCTGCACAGTATCATTGGTGCTTGCAGTGACTCTGGTCTCTTTTCTCACCTCATTCCTCTTGACTTTCACTGTTTGACTTTGACTTTCACTGTTTGGATCATTGACGCCCCGGAAATTGCTCCTTTCTTGTCTCGTGCTGTACCAGCTCTTGACCTTCCAGGGGTCTCCTGCATGTCCTCTTTCCCCCATCTGTTAGGCCTGGCTATTCCCTCACTGCATGCCAGGGCCTGCCTTGTTTTCTCCTGGGGCTCTCATTGGTGCAGGTGGCTTCCAGGGTCACGCAGGTCTGGGTGTCTTTGTGTCTCTTGCCTGGCCCTGACACCTTCCCAGAGGTCTCTCCCAAAGCTGGGTATTTCCGGTTCCTCATGACGGATGCAAATGAGCTTGAGAGGGCAGGGAGGAGGCCCAATGTGATGGCCGGAGGAGCCCTGAACTACCCCTCCCGGGCCTTTGGATTCCACCAAGGTGTAGGTGTGCGTCTTGGTCTCCGCTCTCACCAGGGTCTGGGACTCTTCCTGCCGCTGACTACCAGGTCCCCTCAAGCCTTTCCGGCAACAGTCACGCCGTGCAAAACTCCCACCTGGTCCTGCCTGTGTGCCCTTTCCTCTCACTTACCACTCCCAGTCTGCCCTCTGTACCCTTTGCTCCCCATTCCCACTGCCCCCCCGTACAGTTCTTTTACTGCCTTCATCGACCTCTGCTGCCTTTGAGATGATTTTCCTTGGTCTGAACTTCAGGGAGTGCCTTCTCCTCCAGATTTTCCTCCCATGCTGCCCTGCGGAAGCTCAACCCCTCCGTGCCTGTGCTGTCTGCAGAATGGCGCCTTCTGTCCCCAGATGCCATTGCCCTTGCTCATTTCTGCTGCCCAGCACCGCTCTTCCACCCCCTGCTCCGCCCATTCTGCCTCTACTGTTCCATGTCCATCTCCTTTCATCATTTTATTTAAATAGCAGACATTGGCTATGTGAATATATTTTATTTTTTTCACATTTGCATGTTTTATTTTGTCTCATTAAAACCTCACTGTCTTCTTTAACTTGTAGTATGGCGGGTGGGGGACCCCATCTCAAAAGTCTCTGAGGCTCCCTGGCACGGATTATTGTTATTATTTTTTGTTTTGTTTTACTTTTTGAGAGAGGCTCTCACTATGTAGTTCAGGCTGGCCTCGAACTCCCAGTAATCCTCCTGCCTCAGCCTCTCTGGGACTACAGCTGTGTGGCATACTCCTGGCCCTCTGGCATGGATTAGTTACGTAATAGGTACCTGCCCCATGCTGTTGGGTTGGGACTGACACTGCTCCCATGGACTCTGAGTCTCTCCGGCAATAGGTGGGAAGGAGACGCAGTCCACTGCCGTCTCACCCCTTCCCTCGTCCACCCATTGGCTGTACAGGCCGTTAAGCACCCACGAGTGAGGCAGAGTATGTGCACTGCAGGGAGAGATTCATCCAGCACAGGTCCAGCGAGGTGGGAGTGACGCCACCTCTCACGTGGGGAAGCCCAGCAGGAAATGATTCTGAGTCCTGCTGGGGAGACTTCGTGGGGGAATTCTGAGGGCGGAGGGAGGGTTTGTGAGATGGAGGAGAGAGAGACCCTGGGAGGCATGACCGAGGGCGTGTGCCCCTGTACTAGTGAGGCAGGCTTTGAGTGAGCAGGGCTGAAGGGCCCGGCGTGTTCAGCTGGCGGGCGTGAGCTCTGTCCCGGAGGGCTGAGGTGTGTGGAGGGGACATAAACTCGGCCTTTTCGGCCACCACAGAGTGGTGTGGCAGTGCACGCTGTGGCGGGAGCTGAGGGGAGAAGTCACAGGGACCTGAAGTGTGCAGAGCAGAGCCGGGGTCTGCAGGAGTGCGGACAGGGGAGGGCGGGTGGGCAGCCTGGTGTGACTGAGTGTGGGCCTGAGAGGGGAGCAGCGCCCCATGTCGGGTGGGTGCCGGGACCCCACATGGAGGCAGGGCAGGGCAGGGACAGTGGGAGGCTGCTCTCGGGTGGGTTCACCTCGTGGCACCCTGGGACGCACCCCACTGTGCTGTGTGGCCTAGGTTCTGTGGGGAAGGGACCAGTGGCAGAGGGAGGAGGAGGTAGGACCCTGCGTGTGGAGGGACCTTGGTGGGCAGGGTCTATCTTGGCTTCAGTCCTTCCTGCTCTGGGGTCTCTGGGGAGGAGAAGGTGAAAGAAGCAGAGCTATGTCCTCTGAGACCAAACCCTCCCTCAGAATGGAAGGAAGAGCTGCGTGTAGCTCGAGATCAGTGAAGCGAAGCCAGGGGCCCTGAGCCAGACGGGGCCAGACCTGGGCACAGAGAGGGGCACTGGGATTTCTGGCACCCTGGGCTCACACAGGCAGCCGGAGGCCTCCATGAGCTCTCAGGAGCCGGGGCGACCCTGGGACTTTCCAGCTCCTTCGGTACCTTCTTGTTGGTGCAGTGGGCAGGAGTGGGTTCCTCGGGCAAGGGCCCCATCTTGGGCTCTCTAGATTAGGGCATCCTGGAGCGCTCATGCACTGTCTCCAGTCCTCACTGGTCTTCTGTGCCTGTTCCAGGGAGTGGCTTGGAGTCCTGCTAGGATCCCCCACTGTCCTTCACAGAACCCCAGGTTCAGGGCCCCCCCAAGTCAAGGCAGGCACTGAAGTGGGCTCTTGTGTTGCCTGTTCTCCCGCTCAGTGCCTGGGTCCTTCTGCTTTGAACCCATTGAGGCTGAGATGCTGTGTCCTAGACCTTGGTGGGCAGCTTGTTACTCTGCGAGCCCCAGTGGACCCTGAAGCCTATACACTTGTCTGATGAGCAGAGAAATCCTGTTGGGTACCACACAACTGGCTTCCCTGGGACTCTAACCTCCATGAGAGCAGTGGCGTGGTCTGTCATCTGGATCCTCGACTGCCAGTGTCTGAACAGGGTCTGGCACATAGTAGGGGTTCAGCAATTATCTGGCACATAGTAGGTCTCCAGCAAATATCTGTTGAACGAGTAAGGGGTGCTTTCCATGTAAAACATGACAATCAAAACGAGTGTCAGGAGTGTTCCCATCTTCCCTTCCCGTGGCTGATCAAGTCTGAATCCCTAGTATGAAAAAACAATGGCGATGGTGTCACAGCACGAGGACCCAACCCCTTCCATCCTGTGAAGGACGGCAGAGGGAGGGGGAAATCCGGGGCCCGTGAGTCTCCTGGGAAGGGGTGTTTATAGAACTCGAGCTCAGAGCAGGGGACAGTTTACCCTCCTCAATGCAGCTGCTGCCCTGTGGTCCAGGAAGCCACCACAGGGCTGAGGGAGTCGCTCTGTGGGCACCGCTGCCTCGAGCCACCTGGCACCCGCTGCCTGCCATCTCTCACCCTGCTCCTGCCCCCTTTTCTCTTAAGACTGGTCCGGGAGAGTGGCCCACAAGAGAAGAACCCTGAATCTCCGGGTACGTATCCTCTGTGAGCAACACCGCACACTTGCTTTCGACTCTTCTGTCCTGGGCAGGGCTATGGGATGGAACCGCTGGGCTCTCGGGTCCGAGCCCCTCACTTCACAGACCGGGAAGCTGAAGCCACCCACGGCCCCACATTGCAGGGGGCGGGAAAGAAGCGGTGGTGGTGGCACCAGCTCTGCCAGGCGCGTGACACCCTGGCTCACGTAGCTCGTGGAGGCCTAGATAGGAGAGACCGTGCTGTCCTGTGTGACAGATGAAGGGCGGGTTGAGGCCCAAGGAGGGGCACATTATCCTGTTCCTGTCCCGCTCGCCCTGGGGGCTGTAGGTCCACACTGCAGTCCTTGGCACTATTTTGGAGTAGGCAGTTAAACAGCACCCCAGAAACTCTTCAGTCTTCGGGTCAGGGGAACGGGCAGCTCCAGGATGAGAGAAGGGTGGGGCAGAGGGCTTTCAGCGGCAGGAAGGAGGGGAGGAGGGGACAGGGATGAGTTAGGGACTGAGGCCCTAGCTCTGTGGAGAGCCACTGGAGGCCGTGCCGTGGCGGTGGGGTGGGGTGGGAAGCGAGGCTGCAGCTCCCCCCAGGCTGGACCAGCGAGCACCCTGCTAATCAGCTCGGCAGATGTGTCACTGCCTAGTGAGCGGGGCAGGCTGCTCCCCAGGAAGCCCAGGGTCAGGATCCGGAGCTGGGCTGTGAGGTGGCAGCCCCTTCACCCCTGCTCTCTGGCTGGCTCTGCTGGGGAGACCCCAGGTGACACCCGAGCTACCCTTGTGACTGCTGATGTGGGGATTTGGGCCGGGAGACCCCATCATGGGTGGCCTTGGAAGGCTGCTCAGATGGGCTTTCCTGGGTGTCTTGGGGTGTAGGTGAGGATGTGGGTTACAGGACAGCAAAGCCCGCAGAGGACTTTTTCTGACCTCCAGCCTGCCACCAGAGGTGATAGTAGACAGTGTGTGTCACACGCCAAGCACACACACAGTTACCCACAGCCCAGGGGACTCCAGACCTTGTGGCACCCTGCAGACCTTGCCCTGGTCATTTCTGGCCCTGGCTACCAGTGCCTTCTGCCCTGCCTTTCACATCCGAGTCCCTCTTCCCTCTGCCCGCAGAGGGAACCTTCACAGAAGGCAGAGGACCAGGAAAGCAGAGGCCAGACAGAAGCCCCTGGGTCAAGGTGCCCTCTGCGGCTGCGGACAGCCCCACACAGTGGCTGCCGCCCCACGGGACCCCTGCTCTGCAGGTTCTCCCAAGGACAGTGAGCTTGAAACCTGGTGGCCAGGAGGAAATGAAGGAACCGACTGAGTCCTGCCCTGACTTCATAAGAATAAATATTCTTTAAATCCACTGATTGGGAAAACAGGGAGGGACAAAAAGATACTATGGATTTGATGTGTTGCGGAGGTGAACTTGTATTTTAATCAGTCGCGAGGGCATCTGAAGGTCCTCGGGTCTCAGCTTTCCCATCTGTGAGATGAGAGGACTGGACTAGCATCACTTAGTTCTGTGGTCCCTTCTAGCTCTGCTCTTCAGGGCAAAATGGTCACGGGCTTGTTTCATTTGTCCTCTCCCTGACCCTGTGTCCTGCCCAGCCCCCATCCTGGAGTAAGCTGTGCGGTCCTTGCAGAACGAACGGGTGAAGGAGGGCCTGGGGGATGACACGGTCTCCCAGCACCCTTTGCGGAGCTGCTCTGTAGAGAGAAGAGAACTGTTCTACCGAAGTGTCGTCAGGAGGACGGAGGGTGGGGGGCTGCGGCACACCAGCCGCGGGTGTGGCCAGCTCCGTCTGTCCTTCTGACCCCTCAGAGCCCAAACCTGCGGCCCCACTCTTTGGAGAGGGATCTGCCGCTGCCCCCGTGAAGACCCTGGCCTCCTCACAGTCTGCTCCTGTGCTGACAGCCTTCTCCTGCGGACGTGCCAAAGAAGCCGTCCCCTTGCCGAGAGAAGAAGAGCAGAAGGAACCCGGCACCAAGGTACCTGAGCAGAGAGGAGGAGGGAGGCGGACGTGGACACCGGCTGACTGGAAACAAGTGTGGGAGGTCAGGGCGGGGTGGTGGGAGCCTGGGGGAGGGAGGAGTACAGAGGCTGCTGAGGGGCGGCGGGGACAGAAGGAGGTCACTCGGGGGCCGGGAGGAGGCAGGATGTGAGGGAGAGGACAGAGGGCTTAGGAGAACCCAGCTGAGTAATCTGAACCAGGCCCCGATATAGCAGCGGGAGAGGCAGCTGACACAGGCTGACGGCCGAGTTCCCCGCACTTACGAGGTGACCTTGGGGAGCTGGCTTCTCTTCCCTGGTCGGGATGACTTTAGTCAAACTTGAAGTTGGGCCTTGTTCTTTGACACACAGACGTAACAGTTCGCTCAGGGCGATACCTGGAAGGGCTGCTCCGTGCATGTCCTGTGTGAAAGGCGGGGCTCTGTGGCCCCAGCAGCCCACTCTTGGTCATTTTGCTGACCATTCCCTTCCACGGCATCCCAATTCTGAAGGTCCCTTTTGGTCCCGCCCCCTCCTGTCATTCTGACTCCGTCTACCCCAGGCTCCGACCCCAGAGCCTGTGCACTTTCTTGCACCGACGACTTTCTCCCTGACACCAGACCGAGCCTTGAATATTGCTCCTTTCACCCTGAGTGCGTGGCCAAACCGCAGCAAATCCACTGCGCCTGTCTCTCCCCATCTCTCCCGAGCGCCCCGCGACCCTGCCACACCGAGGTCACCATGCCGTACCTTCCCCGGCACAGCCACATCTCAGCACTCCTTTGTCCCAGAGGCCGCTGTGTCCCCCTAAGTTCTCCACGCAGGGATGGAGGTTCCTGGTCCCCGTACCAGGCAGCGTCTTCTCGCCTTTCTTGCTGGCTGCACAGATGCCGAGTCCCCAGGGGTCGATCCTCTGGCCCCTGGTTGTTCTGCCCCCAGAGGGCCTCCTCCAGCCCTGACCCCGCGTGCCTTCTCCGTGCTGAGGATTCCCAGGCTCCCCGCCCGCTCACACCACCTCCCGCCCTCCACACGCTTGCTTACTTGCCGCTCAACACCTCCACTCGGTTCCCTCACTGTGCCTCAAACCCACCTCGCCTAAGACTCAGCTCAGTCCTCCCCTCTCCCCAGTGTCCTTGCTCAGTGACCATCCGGTCACACAGCCCATCCCGACCCTGTTCTCTCCCCCACACCTCACAATCAGCAAAGATGTGTCCGCCACCCCACCCCTCCGTCCCATCCCAGGGCCCTCGCCTCTTGCCTGAGGGTTCAGTTGTCTCCTAACTGCTGCTCCTGCTCCGTCCTCACAGCAGCCAGTCTGATCCCTGGGGAAGGGAAGCCAGGGCCTCCATGTCTGTGAAAGATGGCCCTGCTGTGGGAGGCACGGGAACTCTCGGTCCTGTTTCCAGAAGTTCTGTGAGGTTCAAACCATTGTAAATAAAAAGCGATGAGAAATGATGTGTGGTGAAGCCACTACCCCTAAATAGAAGTCAGTTCATCCTAGACACTGTTCTTCTCCCTGACAAGGATCCCAGTTCAGAATCTCTGCTCAAAACTTTAAATGTGTCCTCCTGAGGAAAGGCCTAGGCCTTGCTGTGGACTATAAGGCCCAGCATAGAATGGATCCCACCACCTCCCAACCTTGTGTCCTATCCTTGATCTGACTCACAGTGCTCTGACCAGTGTCCTTTCCACGGTCCCTGCCCACTCAGGCACACTCTGGCCTCAGGGCTTTTGCACTTGCTATGCTAAGAGCCCTTCTCCCCTGGAAACCAGGTGGCTTGCTCTCTCCCTTCATTTATGTTTTCACTTAAATCTCTCCTCTGCAGTCTCTCTCGGCTTTCTTTATCTAAAGCAAAGGCCGCTGTTACAGCTATTTCCTTACTTTTCTTTTAACACACTTTCTGACAGTAGACATTAGCCTGTTTATTGTCTGGCTCACTATCTTGCGCAGCTCTTAGGGGGCCAGGACTTCATGTTTTCTGTTTCCTCCCAGAGCAGTGACTGGCACAGGGAAGCACTCACAGTTTTGATGACTGAATGACTGAAGGTGTAGAAAGTGCCGCTGGATCCCCCAGGCTAATGGAGTTTGCTTTGACCTTGTGCCAGTTCCAAGTCGCCATCTCCAGGTCCGCCCAGGAGAAGATGCGGCTGAAGCAGATGAAGGAGATGGAGTTGTTCCGGAGGGCGAAGGAACCAGAGAGGGAACGGGCACTTGCTGCCCAGGGCCTGGGCTCCAGGAGAACCTTCGTGAAGGAAGGTACTGGGGGCATGGGCGGGAGGCCCTCGGAGTGGGGAAGCTTCCTGGCCAAGTCCTGGGTGCTCAGCCTGCCCAAGGAGGGGCCCGTCTGCAGTTTCCCATGGTCCCCACCTTGAGACCGGCCAGGGCGCCATGTCCACTGTCTCCTGGCCTGCTGCCGGGCCCATCGCCGCAGGGGAGGCTGCGGCCAGTCCCGACCTTGCTGTGCCTCCACAGGCCTCCTTCCCCTGCGGGGCAGCGGGACGCTGTCTGTGCCCACCAGGCTGAGCAGCCCCTGCAGAAACAGCGGTGGCGTCCTCCTGAGGAAGCGGGCCAACCGGTCTTCTCTGCCCAGCATCCCTGTCAGCAGGCCGGAGCCCCGCTTTGCTCGGCACGCATCAGGTGGGCTCACGCCCCTGCCCGTGTGGCCTTGGGCCTCTCCGCGCATGGCGGGGGACCTCAGACGTTCTGCCTCCGCCCATTGCCCATGTGAGACTAGTGGGGGAGCTGGGGGCCCGGTACCCCGCAGAGAGAAACCTGGTCTGGGATCTGTGATCATCCGTGGGCCACATCCGGGGTGGTGGACGCCCAGGCAGGGGTGCCTCTGGGGTGACTTGTCCTAGAGGAGCCACTACGGTTCCGGGACCAGACGCTGGCAAGCAGCATCCAAGGAAGTGACGGCAAATACCGCGGGAGGAGAGAGGAAGCCCTGGATTCCGGCCTTTTGCATCACGCTGTCAGGGCTGCATGGGGCTGGGTATAAACTGGGAGAGGGGCCAGGGGCCCAGGGGAGGCTCTGTCCTCCAGCTACCAGAGGAGCTTCTATTTTGCTTCATTTTTGTTTTTGATTTTGTATTCATGAGCTTTCACTTGAAAAGGTTTTGTTACTAAAACACATCTGGATATAGTCGGTCTGGCCCAGAGTTTCCTTTAGTACGGGAAGTGGTAGACAGTGATGGTAGACTAAGGGATAATGTGGGTGCTATACATAATGTGGACTCCTCTCTTTTTTCAATCCTTTCTGTCCTCTTGATTGTGTCAAACAGCATTTCTCTTTGTTTTTTGAGATGGGGTCTCATTATGTAGGTGAGGCTGACCTGGAACTCACTATGTAGCCCAGGCTGGTCTCCAACTCACAGAGATCCTCCTGCCTCAGCCTCCTGAGTGCTGGGATTACAGGTGTGCGCCCACACCCAGTTTGTTTCTGGATATAGTCGGTCTGGCCCAGAGTTTCCTTTAGTACGGGAAGTGGTAGACAGTGATGGTAGACTAAGGGATAATGTGGGTGCTATACATAATGTGGACTCCTCTCTTTTTTCAATCCTTTCTGTCCTCTTGATTGTGTCAAACAGCATTTCTCTTTGTTTTTTGAGATGGGGTCTCATTATGTAGGTGAGGCTGACCTGGAACTCACTATGTAGCCCAGGCTGGTCTCCAACTCACAGAGATCCTCCTGCCTCAGCCTCCTGAGTGCTGGGATTACAGGTGTGCGCCACCACGCCCAGTTTGTTTCTCTTTTTAATGAAATGATCTTCCTGCGGGCTGAGATGTCAGAAGCTGGCTGTCATTTTACAGCTGAAGTTTTAAATACTTTTACTGTAAATATGTTCTGTGATAAACAATATTAGTGTACCCAGGATGGTACATAAAATCCCTTTAAAAGGAATTTATTCGGGATTTGGAAAGAGGCTGGATTTGAAGTACAAAGTCAGGAAACTCACAGATGAGAGTGTGGCGAAAAGGTTATGATAATGAATGATCCATACCGGAAAATATTGGTCCATCCAGCCCAGCCCCCTTACTTTTTGAAAAGTAGAACTGAAATTCAGAGACGCAAGGTCAGCCCAGGTCACCCGAAGTGATGGTGGACCGTAGGACTGAGCCTTTGGCTGATGACTCTCGCACAGTCTGGCCTGCTATCGTCTTGTGGATGTGCAGATTTGTGTGGGTGAGTAGATGGGTAAGGTCTGTGAGGAGGTGAGAAGAAATGCCAGCATCTCCCTCTTATAAACTTCTTGGAAAGTGACTTCGAACCCTTTTCTTCTCCCTC